ATATATATATATATGTATATATCCATAATATAGAAATATACATATAATGATAAAAATATACTTATAAAACTTTACCATCAGTATTCATCCGATCTTACACTCAAGATCATCTTTAAATACAATCTCGAGACGCTTACAATCATTTCATTCATTTCACTAGCTGGATGTGTCAAGAGTGTCCATTACCAGACTTAAGATGATCTTGAATATAACATTAGACTATGAATACCACCGCTCTATTAAAGTTACATAAATCAAATATTGCAATATAAACCAAACATTGTGAACGATATTGAGCAATTAAGTAGTTTAACGTAATGTCTTTGACTTTGAGGGGAAGAAATTCAATGTCTCTCGCGAGCTCGATATGATTTAGCAAAAATTTCTTTTGCGTGCAATCTTCAGCGCGCGAAGATTCTCGTTGAGATGCACCTTGCAAAGAATGTGCGTGAATACGCCTGCAATTAGAGGAGGCTAATTGCGGGACGGTATAAATACAGAAACCGACATGTGGCAGATGTCCTTCGACCTCGTACATAAAAACACGTAATTCAGACTTGGAGTATGGCAGACTGCTTAGGAATGCAACGTACGTGTTAAAGAAATATTATTTCCACGCGTGTTTTTTTTTTCTTCAAACAATGAATCGACTCACATACGACGTGTACGAGAAGAACAAGTAGAAGGAGAAAAAGAGGGGAAGCGAGAGAAAAGAGGGGAGAAGGAAAACAGAGAAAGGAGAAAAAGAGAAAGGAAAAAAGAAAAAAGAAGGGGAAGAAAAAAAAGAAAGGATAAGAAAAAGAAGTAAAGGAAAAATAAAAGAGAAACGAAAGAAAGAAAAGAAGGAAAGAAAAAAATAGAGAAAGAAAAAAAAGAGAAAGAAGGAAAGAAAACAGAAAGAGTGAGAAAAAGAAAGAAACGGAAAAAATAGAAAGGAATGGAGACACAAATAGAAGAAGGAAGAAATGGAAAAAGAACGGAAGAGAAAGTGTGTGTCAAAAGCTAATAAAACGTCTCGGTATGTAACGAACGTGAGAAAACGATAAACGGCAGATAGGAAGGAGAAAGAGACTACATTAACGGAGCATCATAACAGATAATAATCGCGCGAGGGCAAGGGCGTAGGAATCAGGATTGGGATAGGGTCGAAGAGAATCGTGACGGCGAGGAGATTACGACGGACGAATACATTCTCTCGCGACATAACCTAAATTCACGCGCGCTGACTGAATGGGTGAGAGTGACGTTTCGCGTTCGTCCGTGAAGAAATGAGACAGACGCGCGGCACAGGAAAAAGAAAATATATAAAGAAGCAAGAAGAAAGACATATTGATCCTTTTAGATCACTCACCCAAAAGTAGTCGACAAAATCCACGGTCATGTTGAGACCGCGATCAGACCATCATACCACCTCGCCTCAACCTTACGTATGTATCGGCACGAATTGCACCGCACTCTTTTTCTTCTCGCCCGCGAACGGCAGCGCGCGTGACACGCACGGGCACTGCGCTTCGTGATGGGACGCGACACACAAGAATGCAATACTCCGATTCACAGAACGGCAGTGACTCGGTGTGAAGTCTGACTTCAGACGCTACCAGCGGGGATGGGGAATGGAATCGCGAGCAAAACGGGCGCGCTCGAGCGCAGAAACACGGGTCAACTTGCGTTCGCGTCGACCGTCTCCGTCTGCCGCTGCGCCGCGTCGTGTCGCGTCGCTCCTTCTCCTCCTCTTCTCTTCACCCTCCTCCTTCACCCTTCCGCCAGCACCTCTTCGTCGTGCGTGTGAAATTTCTTCTTCTCTTGCACGCGCGCGCACGATGCCGCGCGATTATTCGCTTCCGATAACGAGCACACAACCAATAAGAGCGCGGCAATTGACGCGCCCGTGAGAAACTTAAGGTCTGTTTGCATTGCTTGCACTTTTTGCACTTCTGTCAGCATTTTTGCTTTTTTCTCTCTCTTTCTCTTTTCAATGCTCAAATATATATGTTTATCTCATTTTGAGCGCAAACATTTTTGCGTATTTTAAGCAACGCGAGCGTCGCTCGACAAACCTTGAGTTTCTAATTTCAAGGCCTAAGAACTTTAGATAGATATAATCGATTTTCTATATTATTATTATAGATAATCGTATTTAATATAGTATATATAATTCTAATTATTTAATATTATGATATTTATAATGTATTTAATATTTATGAACTATAAGTAATGATTAGATTGAATATTTGTTGTAATGTAACAATTAGATTGAATTATTTTCAATGTCTATCAATTATACTTTTTGAACGCCGTTAATTTATTGATGTCATTGCTGGTATTGGCCCATGCTACGTTTTTCATAGTTACTTACTATTGGAACGAATGTTCGCTACAGCTGAAAGACATAAATAAAATAAGTACATACAATTAATAATAAAGATATTGTACTAAAATTTAATTAGCATTTATTCTTTCTCTTTTTATATTTTTCTGTATTCTTTGCATTTAAAAATAAGTAGATATATGTCCGATTTAAAAAAAAAAGAAGGAATAAAGTGTAGAAAGTGTAATTGAAACAATAGATCAGAGATATGTTCTGAAATGTACTAATAGTATTGAAGAACTATAGTCTATATTATTTATATTGTAATAAATATATTTTTATATATTTTCAATATTTAAAATGCATCTTAAACAATAAAAAATATTAATGCTTTTGAAATCTCAAATAGTTTATATATATTAAATAAATATTTATAAATATTAAACATATTAATAATTAATAATTAATTTAACGATTAACGCGATGTTACAAATGCTTTAAAGCGTTTTTTGACTGTTTAATTTATAAAATTCTTTCTTCTAATTGGCAAACGCTTCAAAATATTTGTAGTGACATTTTTTGACACAATTTCTAAATAGCTAGGATAATTTATTAAATTATTTCTTTTCCAAATTAAATCATATATGCGTCATATTAGATCATCATATATATCAATCTGTGTATTTAGATGTACACATGAGAAGGTTTTTAAATTTCTTTTCCATCCGATTTTTGTCTATTCAATAGCGGCACAAATTCAAATGACTTGGCGGTTCGCCGAATGGCAGTACGGGAGGCGTGGCTTCGGGCCGAACACAGCCGAATATAACCGAATGCGCGGAATATCATAGGCGCGCACACAGCGACGCGCACGTGTACCTTCGTACAGTCTGTATAGAGTGGAGTAGGAAAGTTTCAGTCGTGTTATCAATCGGCTTCTGCTCCCTCATCGCTGGACCGCTAATCTCGTTCACAGTGATCGTCATTGACGGATACGGGTCATCGTGCAACTGTAGGCCTCCACTGCCGCCGGTTGACGGCAAAGTAACTGGAACGAGCGACGAAGTGAGCGAACGATGCCCGCGAACAAGTCGAACCTATCAACGCCCCGTAAAGAGAAGCCCGGCGACAAACTCTACACCCTCGCCACTTCGGTCGCCGCTAACTCCAGTAAGAAAAAGAAGCGCTCCTCCTCCTTCGTTAAGCATAAACATTACGCGCAATATCTGGTGAGTGTGAGCGATGAATTAAAAGAAAATATATTGTGACATGAATGTCGGATGAGCGGCCATATACGAGAAGGGACGCGCCTCGCGCGTCCATTTATTAGACGTTTCCACGATCCATGCAACTCCGATCGATCGTTCCAAGAATTACAGCCGCGTGATCCACCCTCTTCGAATACGTGATATTTCGCGTGTTTACTTCCCCCCATTGCTGGACATGGAGGTAAAGACGCCTCTTAACCAAAGGTTAGGGTAGCGTCTAGGGGAATATTGAGTGTTATTGACCCCAAGCGGCATGACTCGGTCACGGTAATTGCGCGAGGAGGAAAGCATCCCCTTGCTTGCAAACTTTCTATTCATTTCTTTTAATTGTATTTTTTTTATTATCTTGTATTCTTTTTTATTTTTATATATATATATATATATGAAAGATTAAATATATGTACTTTTTTATATAAGAAAGGGAGAGAGAGAGAGAGAGAGAGAGAGAGAGAGAGACAGGAGGCAGGAGATGAAAGGGAGAATAACAATAGAGAAAAAATGTTTAAAGAATACAGCTAAAATTGTAAAAAAAATCCTAATTTTTAATAATTTTGGTAAGTGATAATTGAATTTTTATTGTTAGAAAAGCTGTAAATATAGATGTATGAAAAATTGGGGTTTTAAAAAATAAAATTGATTTTTATTTCACTTTGAAATTCCTATCAAGAGGTTAAATTTTTTTTATCAAAATGTGTCTTCTTTAAAATTAAACTATACAATCTATAAACAAAAAAAACTCGGATTTTTATATCTTACCTAATTCTCGAGACATTCGTGCATTAATTGAAACATTCTTGAACATTATATCGATATGATCAATATCGTTCAACCACAGTTTAGCTATATAAATCTTTTAATTAACTATTTTTTTATGAAGAACAAAACGTTCTTTTCGTGGGATTATAATATTTCTAAACATAATTTGACACGAGATGTTGTCGCTACACAACACGCAAATCTCTTGATATATAATCCTTAAATATGCAATTATGTTCCAAGAATATTTTGCGTGTTTAATATTTTTTTAGAACGTGTTTCTAAGAAAGTTAATTTGACAGAGAAATCTCTAGTTTAATTACACATGAAAAATTGAATAATATTTTAACTTATATTTTTAGCTAGTCGTAGAAAAAAATAAAAATTTTATTTTCTATATTTATCATTATTTATCTTTTTATATTTTATATTTGTTATATTTATTATGAAAAGCAAAAACATTATTTACGTCAGAAATCTCAGGGATATATGAACGATCGATTGGTGTTGAACATATGTTCGGGTTGCGATTCCTATTTCAAATTGCGTATTAAATAAAGTATTTCAATTTTATATATATTATATAGGAATGTATCAATTATATTATAAATATCATAATCGGCGAGATAATCGAGAAAAATTTTATTAAGATATGATACAATGATTGTTGAAATGAGTTATAACAACATACGATCTACTTAATATTTGGCAAATGTTAATACGTTAGTTAAGCTCGCTGTTTGATCAAAAATTTTTTTTATCAATTTTGTATGAATTTCTAGAGAGCATACTTCCCTTACGCATTATGTTATGTACGTGACATACATATGAGACCGTGAATTAAAGGGGATAAAATGAGGATTCGGGATATCACAAGGGATTTCTTCCAGTATTATACATATTAGATTCAATATTTTTGTCACGCATCCTAATATTCGTAATAGTTGTCGCAATTATCTATTATATTGTACATTTTGTGGCAATACATTTGCGTATAAATACTAAACTTGAATATTTTATTTTTACAATTATAGGCCCTGCACTGTGTGACATCCTCCTTTTCCCTTCACCTTTTTAAATATTAGTACGTAGTTTTTTGTGCACCATATTTGTAGTTTATTATCGTAGAAGTTTGTTTTGGTAATAGATATAAAAATTACGTTAATAATTTGTTTATTCTGAATTTTTGAATTTTTAAATTTGTGAATTTTTAATTTTTTATTTAATATTACTTAGCGAACTCCATGAAGGTTCAGGTTAAACTGTTATGTAAATTTTATATTTTTAATTAATATTTAGACAAAAAGAGTCGTAAGAATGCAACTGTTTGTTGTTTCGACTACAGTTTAACCAAACGAGAGGCTCTTTTTGAAAAAAATAAGTTGAGATGATATAAAGTTACTTCAAAATGATAGTTCATACGTATTGATTCAAAGATAAGAAAAAGAGGTTGCTGATTCGGCGGAAACAAAAGGGACAGCAATTCCTTCCGCAGTCACTTTTGAACCTCTTCTTATGCTTTGCAGATGTAGAAGTTGGCTCGATTACATGAAAAGATAAGATTTCTTTCTTTCTCTCTTTTTCTGATTTGGATTTTGTGTTAGATTTAGTCATAAAATTTATTGTATTTTTTTTGTGTAATTCAACTATTGATTCAATTGATTTTTTATTGTTCTATTTAATTCAGATTCGTTTTTATGCTATGAATAATACATTTATTCAAAGGAATAGTTATTATGTAGTAAGAATTATAAAATAAGAAGAGCATAGGAAGATCCATGAAAATATAAAACTGTCCAATTCTTTTCTCTTATATTCACTTCTATTTTTTAATATGAGACAAAATCAAAAAATTGAGAGGAGAAAGAACTTTACACGTTAGTAAAATTATTAATTATTAGTTAAATTAATAATTTGCTTCTAACAAATGTAATTTGGATTAATACGAATTATTAAATGCATATTAAGATAAATGCTATACTAGCCATATAGAAATGTAATTGTTCCATAATATGATAGTAAATCAATATTTTTGTTATATATATTTTTGTTATATTTTTTTCTTATATGTATATATAATATTCACGATTTATCAGTACCAATTTTAAATTTAACTTTGGATTCTTTTTAATCAACAATTTTGTTTATGAACTGAATGAGAAATCGGGAATTACTTTTAACAATTAAAAAACTCAAGTATAATGAATTTCTAATAGATTTATATTTTTTTTATATACGTTAATATAAATACGAAAATGTTTTTTTTAGAATCTTTCTGTTTATCAAACTTTTCTATAAAATATCAATATCATAATTAGTAATTTATGATATTATAATCATCT